GTTATCTGGGTATGTAGTAATCTAATTTTATGCGATGTAATGTGTTATATTTTCAAGCGCTTTTCAATGCAGTTATCGGTTTAAATATACCTAAAATTCCCGTTAAGAGATATGACAATTGCCGTACGGCCTACTTTTACGCAAACGAAAATTAACTACAATTGCCACTTTCATGCTTAATTTTCTCTGTTATCCGGGCATGTAGTAATGTAATTTTATGCCAATGTGATGTGCTGATGAAATTTACAGTTGTAATTTGCGTTTGCGTAAAAGTAGTCCGTACGGCAATTGTCATATCTCAACGGGAATTTGAGTTATATTTAAACCGATAACTGCATTGAAAAGTCCTTGAAAAAACAGCACATTACATTGCATAAAATTAGATTACTACATACCCAGATAACAGAGAAAATTAAGCATGAAATTTTTGCAATTGTAGCTAAATTAAATTTTCGTTTGCGTAAAAGTAGGCCGTACGGCAATTGTCATATCTCTTAACGGGAATTTTAGGTATATTTAAACCGATAACTGCATTGAAAAGCCCTTGAAAATATAGCACATTACATTGCATAAAATTATATTACTACATACCCAGATAACAGAGAAAATTAAGCATGAAAGTTGCAGCATATCCGCGTTTTATCCGATCAAGCGTTACGAAGGTTTGAAAAACCCCGCATTTCCACATGTATTTTATCAACTTTTCGCGGACAATTTATTACGATTAATAATAGTCTTTTATAATATATCCTAATATATCCCTTTCAACAAAACGCGGATTTGATTTTAAAATTGAGTTTCGTGTCAAATGAAGCCGTCCCCCCGTCCATCCGCCTGTCCCCCCTGTCCATCCCCCTCTTCCCCCGTCCATCCATCTGTCCCCGCCCCGTCCATCCGCCTCTTCCCCCGTCCATCCGCCTGTCCCCCCCGTCCGTCCGTCCGTATCCGCATTTTTCAATTTCCTGTAATTTACATTTTCGGCCGTTTCGTTTCGGTCGTTTGGTTTCGTCGTTTCGCCTTTTAGTACATGCCCATGGCTACCATTGGAAAATATCGTGATGTTCCGGTATATTCCGGGAAAATGTCGCAATATTCCGGCATATTCCGTGATATTCCGGCATATTCCGTGATATTCCGGCATATTCCGTGATATTCCGGCATATTCCGTGATATTCCGGCATATTCCGTGATATTCCGCCATATTCCGTGATATTCCGCCATATTCCGTGATATTCCGGCATTCCGGGTTTTCACAACGCCCTATATTGCGAAACATTTCGTGATCAAGTAGTGAAGTGATTTGGGCGAAATTAAGAATAAATAAATAAATCTCAATTCCCATATCACTTCCTGTCTCAGAATTGACCAATATTCAAAATATATTGATATATATATATATTTTGAATATTACAAAAGTTAAAATGATAATTTTAATGCGTATCTAGCATAAAAACGTTCCAAATATAACATTTCTTGTAAACAGATTTATGTCATTTTCGTGGAAGTGATATATATTTCCATGTATTAATAGGACGTCCCAAAAGCCTGGTTCACATTGATCGTAAACATCGGCGATGCCCATTGTCGGTGGTCATTGATGCATAAAATGTTTTGTGCATTTTCTTCTTCGTTGCTCACAGACAATGGATCGTAGAACATCGCCGATCAATGTGAACCAGGCTTAACATCGACTGCTAAATTTAAGATACATGGTCACACTTTAATTTAACTGTTACTTAGAAATGGCATTTTTTACACTAGAACCCCATTATTCGTTTAGGCAAGCATACTGTAGGTACGGAATGGCAATTTCGGTGGCCAAGAATGTCAGTTAATGAGAATGGCTTTACAGTGGAGAAACAACAGCGGTTGCTTGATATCTTATCTTCTTCATGGCTTTAAACGCTTGCCACGTGTTCGTACGAAAATCGTAATATTCCACGGAGTTGTAATGTCCTCCCATTACGACAATGACATCATCTGTAAGGACTGCTAAACAACCATTTCTTTTGTGTTTCATAACAGGCAGCATTTCACTTTCTCCTGTCTCCGTGTCAAACATGATAACTTCATTGGTCACTTCATCAAGCCACTGCCGCCTATCCGTTACAACTCTCGTCTTTCCTCCCAGTAAGATAATTTGGTCCTTCCAAAGGACTGTAGCCATGTTAAACACAGGAACTGGCAAGCCAGGAATCTCCAGACACTCATTTGCCACAAGATCGTAAATTAAAACACCGCTCGTATCGCTCGCTATTCCGCCAAAAATAAATACTTTCTCGTTCACACGTTCTGCTTTATAAAAATCGTAGACCCTGGGCAAAAAACGCTGTTCAGGTAGAGTACATAATACTTTAGACGCATGTGGTGGAGTGAGCGGAATTTCAAAAATTTTAGATTCTTTTGTAAAATTTCCATTCTCGGGACATTCACAAATCACAATCAATTTCCCCTTGTAAACAAAGGTTTGATGGCCAACTGCAGGAACAGGAAGTTTAGCATCAGACATTTTCCATTTTAAAGGACATTGATCAAGATTCAAAACCTCAATACTAACAGTAGGCTCATTTCGACCGGACTGACCAGTATCAGTGTATCCTCCGCTGACAATAACCTGGTTATCAAGGACAACAGACGAAGCTGATTGACGTGGCACAATCATTGGTGCTACATCAATCCATTTTCCTTCTTTGCAGCAGAACTTTTCCACAGAATTGGTGATCTTTTCATCTGTCATCCTTCCGCCCATAATAATAACATCGTGGTTGATTCGGGAACCAAACTGCCGAGGTGATCGGACGACAGGTAACTTCGAAGCTTGGGCACCTTCTGTTGGTGGGGAATTAAATTGGGAATCGTTGAAAATGCTTTCTATCTTGTCAAGGCTTTCTTTCAACGCTTCTTTCACACCTTCTTTCATTCTTAATTGATTCTCCGACACTTCAGCCATTTTTCTATCCATTTCTCTCTGCTTTTCTTCCATATTCTTGTTTGCTTTCTTCTGATTTCTTTTCATTTCCTTCATTTCCTTTTTCAATTCTCCGCAGCCAAAACACTCGACCTTTCTGAATTTACAAAGCTCAGTCTCATGACGGACTTTTTCACACTTATTCACCTCAGCTCCACAGCCTTCATTCCAACATTCAGCTGGTGCGAAACCACATTGATCGACATGGTTTTGAAGACTGCCAAGCTTAATATACTCAGGGCATCCGCGGTTGCTGTAGTTACATTTAATACGCAACTCTAAAATACAATTCAGCAACACTCTTGGGGGTTGAACCAGGGTTGCTGGGGTTAATTCATCCATACATTCAGGACACGTGTGAGAGTTTTCAACATGTTCACCAATACAGCCAAAACAAAAGTAATGCTGATTGTTTCGACAACTCTTCGGGTTGTTGAGGACGTTAAGACATATGGCACATTTGAAATTTTCACTTACAGGCAATTCAAAACGGTCCTCCTCATAACCTCTGTCTCTCGCGAACTTTGATGCCATTTCTGACACTTCCTATATAGAAAAAAAAAACAACACATTACAATTACTTAAAATTTCGATAATCCACACTTTTGCAAATCTCTTCTTAAGGGTCTTTTGGAACTACAGAGTATATTGGTGCTTCAACACATATACATTAAGCCCTTTTATATTTTCTGATACTTTTAACCCATTGAGGAGCAGCATTCTCCCCTTGACAAGTAGAATTGTCTGGTGTTAGACAGAGTAAAAGAATAAACTGGGCACATTGTCACTTAAAGAGTTAACAGATGCATTGGCAGATAGTCTGATTAACCCACTCTCCCCTTGACAAGTAAAATTGTCTGGTGTTAGACTGAGTAAAAGAATAAGCTAGGACGCATTGCTACTTAATGGGTTAAACTGGTGCAAACCAATGCTATTTAAAGCCATTTCAAAGCACCATTTAGATTCTTATTCAAATTCGTTTACAGTAAAGTGAGGCAATTTCAAAATGTGGGTGATTCATAGCTGGTTTACAAAAGTTTATCTAAATCATGGTAGTGGCAATGCGTCCAATCATGGTAGTGGCAATGCGCCCTGATGGGCCCACTTTATTATTTTATTCTGTCTGATGTCAGACAATTTTATTTGTCAGACAATTTTATTTGTCAAGCAATTTAGTATGCTCATGAGCACACCCACAGTATATATGTACCAAAATCCTGCATGTAATACGCTCATGAGCCTGCTTATGAGTAACTGCATGATTTTCGTGTATATATACAGCTATTTCAATTAAGGTTGTCCCCGAGCAAATAAGAGCGTGAAAGGCTGCTGGGAAGCGATTCTCACAATTTGGTATGCTCATGAGCACGCTTAAGTATATGTACCAAAACTGTGGAATACTGTTTGCTCATGAGCCTGCTTATGGGTATACTGTATGATTTTCGTATATATATGAGCGTGCTCATGAGTATACATGATTTGGTAAATGATCGAACAAAACACTAGCCAATTAAATGGTTCTTGAAGTGGAGCCGTTTTATATTGACAGCGCTCGCTTAAATATTTTGCTTTATACATGCAAATTACATCACTGTACTTTGATGTAATTAGTGCATTTTTCTACGTATATAGGCAAATAATTAATGCTTTTAAATATTTGTTCAGTGAGAATGTTTAGGCCTGTGAGGCTGTGAAGAATTCATTCTTGGTGGGCAATTGAGGTTTTCACCTTACTAATACTGATCTATTTATTATTATGCATGAGTCAATTCCTGGAGTAACCATCCCCCTCCCGGGACACCCCCGGGAATTTGCCCGATAAACAGTTCACGGGGGTCGGGAATTTGCCTTTCATATATGTGCACGGGGGCCGGGTATTGGAGGACCCCGGGGATTTGACAAATGGTTGACCAAAATCCCACCCACAAATTTTAAGGCAGCAAAACCTAGTTTCAGGCACGCGGGCGCATGATCGTATTTTTCGCCCTCGTGGTCAAGGTGGCGTGAAATTTATTGTAAGAATAAGCTAAAATTATACGCTGTGCCATGCAAATTTATATACAACTATTAAAGGTTTATCTTTTATAATATTCCATAGTAGTTTAATACTATAATGTTATTAAATGACTATGATTATATGCCATTAAAAGTTTAATTATTAAATGTTTACAGTCGATTTCACGAAACTTTGACCACAAATTTTCCGAACTTCGTTGCAAAGTTTACAAGATTGTTTTGCGAAGTTCAAAAGTTCATAATGAGATTCACAAATCAGTTCGTAAACTACGCATTTGATTGGCTTCTTTTACTTCACGGACCAATCAGGGACTTTGTTTACAAATTGGCTTGTGAATTCCAATATGAGCTTCCAAACTTCACAACAAACTTGTGAACTTTGCAACGAAGTTCGGAACATTTGTGGGCAAAGTTTCGTGAAATCGAGTGTAAAATCGTTCCCGAGGTGGGGCATTTTCCACTCTCAGCTTTCCCAGGGGCTGTGCATTAGTCTTCAAGTTGTGTCCCGGCACACGGGCATTTACACTATCATAACCAATCAAATCAAATGTAGGTGTATTTCGAGATGGTCACTCCTGGAATTGACTCATGCATTACATAACATTAAGAGCACTTTCATTGCTCAGCAGCCATGATCTATGACTAGAGGACAGATGCACAGAATTGCATCACACAAAACCTTATCCAATATGCAATAGCATTCCCCTATTTGTATAGATCATGTATGTGTGATATTTGTAAAATTTTCACTTTTCCAAATTTCCAAATTTTGGGTGGATAAAAAGTAAGCTACAGTATTTACCTGTTTAATTCAAGGTTTTTCTTTTTATTATATAAAACAAATATAGAAGATTTTGCCATTGTCTGTTCAGTTATAGTCTTATAGATACACAGTATGACGTCATAATGTGGCAGGAACAAAGAAGTGACCCAGTCCCCTCGGCCGCTTATGAGCCACTTTTTTGTTCTTTTGACATTATAATGTCATACTCTGTATCTGTAACTAAACAGACAATGGCAAAATCTTATATATTTGTTAAATTAAACAGACAAACTTCAACCATAACAAAGACTACCTAAACAACAACCATTTAATTTTGATTAAATTGTTATTTATTATTATAAACAATTTTTTTTCTGTGTTGGTGTTGTGTACTCAGGTGAATATGATGTTTGTGATGTTACTCTGAGTGTATATCCCATAGACATCTTATATACACTAGATAGCGCATCTCTTTTAGTAAAATTGAAGCCAAGAATATTCCAGCGGTTACCTCCATTTGAATAGATGGCGGCCATGTTGGTCGTTCCCACTTGCTAATAGACGCTTAAAAACAACAATAACTTTCATCATTTGAATAGTTTAAAAATGTATTTGAAATAGGGTTAACTTCATGTTTAAGTTCCATGTTTAAAAAATAGAAAATATACGAATCTTCTCATTTCATGGGAACGACCTGAGACTGCAATCACAGCTTCAATTTTTGAATTGCAGAATAATTAGATGCACTATCTAGTGTATATAAGATATCTATGGTATATCCACACCGGACGAGGTCATAGGTTCCAAAGGTCATAGGTTCGATTCCCACCGTGGCCGGGCATTTTTTCAAGCTCGTCTGATGTGGATATACACTCAGAGTAACATCACAAACATTATTATAAACAATTCAATCAAAATTCAATGGTCAGTCGCTGGTCCATGACTGTTTTTGTTATGCTTGAGATTTGTCTGTGAATATCAATGATATGCATATTATTATTCTATGCATACAGACAATTATTGCTTGTATGTTGCCCCTAAATAAAAAATCGGACACCGTCAGTCGATGAGGAATATCGTTCAAAATAAAAAATATCTCTCTTATTATAT